ATGCTGCATTGAAAAACAAGGAACTCATGCAATATTATTCAAAATGGGTGACCCTGGAGGACATTATGCTGAGTGAGGTATCTCAGTCACAAAAGGGCAAATACTGCATGGTGCCACTGCTGTAAAACAGGACTGACCTCGGGGTTGGGAGGGAGACCGAGAAAGATCGGTTCAATAATGTATACTGCATTAAAACAGATGAAGGAGAAAATTGTTTAAAAGGAATATGTGATTAGGTATTTTTGTCATGACAGGAGTCCAGAGCAAAGGCTGCATAGTGGAGTGGACCTGTGGGAAGGGATTTTAAAACAATGAAAGAAATTTTCTTTTACTTTTCCAAGACGGTAGTGTACTGGGGGGAGGGTTGGTAGGGGAGAAAAGTGCAACAATGAATGAATGGAAATCCAAAGTCGCTGTAAATTTTCATTGAACGTAATAATAAATAAAAAAAAAAAGATCTAAGAAGTCACAGAAAATTAGTCAGAGGCCCAGAAAAAAACAGTCTTCTTTCTTTGTGAAAAAGGAACCTACAACCAAGACATCTTTAGATGCACAGTCTCTATTTCACTATTACAGCACGTTAACTTTCACAGTAGTCAACTCTCCCCGTGACAAGGCTGTGAGGAATCTTGAAGGCACCTTTCCTGGAGCACCACAAGCACACATAAGGAGGAGGAGTCACTCACTCATGTTTAAGGCGGCCATCCCTCCCTGCGGTGCTGCCGGGTACACATTCGGGACGTTGGTGGTCATGAAGTCTGCAATCTGCTGTAGGGCCAGGAGGCCTGTGGGGTTCTTCCCCTTCTTAAACTGCTCCTGTATCATTGATTCCAACTCTTCACAGAAAGCCTAATAAACGGAAAATGAAAACCATGAGAGACCATTTCTTTTGTTCCCTAACCCTAACCAGGGAGCTCTCGTGGCCTAGTGGTAAGAATCTGAGCTGCAATCCCAAAGGCATGCAGTTCAAACCTACCAGGGACTCTGTGGGAGAAGGTCGGGCAATTTCCTCCCGTGTGATTACTCCCTCTGAAAACCTAGCTATGGGTTGGTTTCGACTCAAGGGTACACAACAGAACAACAACCATAACCACAAATTGCCAAAATGGGCACAGGATATGAACAGACACTTCATCAAAGCAGACAATCAGATGGCCAACAAACACATGAAGAAATGTTCAAAATCCCTAGCTCTGAGAGAGATGCAAATCAAAACAACTCTGAGACATCATTTCACCTCAGTAAAAATAGCAAAATTTAGCAGAACAGCAAATAACTAATGCTGGCAAGGTTACAGAGAAACTGGAACCCTTATTCACTGTTGGTGGAAGTGTAAAATGGTGCAACCACTGTGGAAGGCGGTATGGCACTTTCTCAAAAAGGTAAAAAAAAAAAAGAAGAAAAAAGTTGCAACTAGAAATACCATTTGACCCAGCAATTCCACTACTGGGAATATACCACAAAGAGACCATAACTGACATCCAAGCAGATAATATGCACACCTATGTTTATTCCAGCTTTGTTCACAATACCTCAGAGTTGAAAACAACCCAACTGCCCATCAACAAACAAATGGATAGAGAAGCTGTGGTATATTCACACAATGGAATACTATGCTGCATTGAAAAACAAGGAACTCATGAATTATTATACAAAATGGGTGACCCTGGAGGACATTGTGCTGAGTGAAATATCTCCATCACAAAAGGACAAATACTGCATAGTGCCACTGTTGTAAAACAGGACTGACATCGGAGTTGGGGGGAGACTGAGAAAAGAGGGGATAATGTATGCTGCATTGAAAAAGATGAGGGAGAGAACTGTTTAAAAGGGATATATGATTAGGTATTATTGTCATGACAGGAGTTCAGAATGAAGGCTGCATAGGAGTGAACTTCGGGGGAAGGACTCTATACAATGAAAGAATTTTTCTTTTACTTTTCAAAGAGAAGAGTGAATTTGTGGAGGAGGAGTGGGAAGGGAGAAAAGTGCAACCATGAATGGAAATCCAAAGTCTTTCATTAAAATTAATTTTAAAAAAGAAGCAATACAATTTAAAAAATTTAAAAATAAAGTAATTTAATAATATAAAAACTTAAAACTTTGAAGGAGGGTTCTATTTCTAGAAACCTATTCTAAGGAGGGAATCAAGGATGTGTTCAAAGATTTATTTATGAGGATGTTCTTACCAGTATTACTAATAAAAGGGGGAAATGGGTAGCCAGCTACATTTCAAACAACAACAGAAACAAGTCTTATAATTAAGCACAGAATGTAGAAAAAAATAAAATGACATAAAATGGCTCTCGCTTTGCTGAGTGAAAAAGTTATAAAGCAAATGAACCCGTTTTTATAAAAGCCAAGACATACCAAAAGCAGAAAAAGACTAACAGTAAACACAGCAACATTTCTAAAACATTAAACATTTTTTAACATTCCTTTTAAAATAAAAAATGAAACTCTAAAAGATTGCTCCTTTACAGTAATTCAAAATGAAGCAAAAACACTGAGTTGGATCAACGGTGACTTTAACATCAAGTTAACCCTGGCACCCTGGCAATGGCAGTGTGCACAGCCAGCAACGACTCACTGAGGCCCAGCGGAGCCACCACAGCATTCCAGTGATCCCAAATGCCAACCTCCACTGCAGGCAAAGCCCAGCAGTAGTCAGAGGCAGTCAAAGTGACCTGAGCCTGTGCCACATTCGCTATTGTGGAGGAAAAGAAATGCTAATGGTTCCAATCTACAAAACCCACTGCAGACACAATCAGATCATAGAAAGGAGAAAGGAGCGCCTTGGAACGGAGCCACGGTGGCCCAGTGGTGCCCAGCATGAAGGGCTCAGCTGCATACAGGAAGGTTCACAGTGTGAAGGCATCAGCTGTTCTGTGGGAGAAGGACGTGTCAGTCTGCTCTCCTAAAGACTTACATTTCTACTCTGTCCCACAGGGTCACCAGGAGCCACAACCAGAGGCACAGGTGTGGGCTTTTTGTTTGCTTGTTTAAAAAACACACGTAAGTGCTTGGCTACCAACCAAAAGGCTGGCAGTTCTAAACTTAGCGGTTTCTCAGGATAATAGCCTTGGTGACTAAACCTAGAAAACCAATGGGACAGCACGTCGGTCACAAGGTGCCTAAAGTTCATCCTCAGTCAGGGTTCCTCAGGATAAATGACCTGGTGACTAGACCTAGAAACCCCGATGGGCCAGTGCCTCGGTTACACGGAGAAAACCAAGAGCGTGCATTTGGGTAACAATCCTACGTGGTGCACATTCCACATCAGAATTCCTTCCAGGGTAACAGCCTTTAACGGCTGCTCCATAGAGCTTCCTCAGCTACTGTCTGTACAAGTCACATTCAGGATTGTTCTATGTCACAAGCACTCAACAGCATTTGGTTTTTCTTTTGTAATTGTTAACGGAAGCAGACTGCCAGGCCTTTCTTTCACAGAACTCCTGCATGGGCACCAAGGACCAACCTTTAGGTCAAACCAAAGCAGACACTGCTGCCAACAGAATTCTCCATCAGTGTCCTGAGGGGTAAACCCTAACTAGGGGTCTGTGCCACCTCTCTCCGAGCAGTGGCTGGTGAATCTGAACAGTGGGCCTTTCAGACAACAGCCCTGCTTTTAGCCTACTCTGCACCAGCACTCTTGTTTCAGGCTGGAAGCTGGCGCCACCAATAGAAAGCCCTAAGCAGCAGTTCTACGCTGTAACACACAGGCACCAATGAGTTTGGGTTATTCCTTTTATCCTAATGACAGGATCCCTGGCTGTGCAGTTAACACTCTGCAGCTGAAAAGCAGTCAGTGCTAGGCCACCAGGGTATTTCAGAAGGAAAGCGGCCTCTGAGACATGCAAAGCACAGCAGTGCCCTGACACAAGGGCACTGAGAGTCGGGAGCGACTTGATGACTGGCCTACTGTGCACCCAGCTCTGATCTCCTGTCCTCGGAGGGGGACCAGGAAAAAGCAGAGCCCAGGGTCTGGGGATCAGAACGAGGGCGGCACCGAGAGGGAAGCGGCATCTGCTCTTACTGGACTTTGCAGGATCATGGACACCCTCTTCTTCTGCTCCATCATATTGAAGTCCTGGCGAAGATCTGGGGCCATGTTCCTCTCTCGCAAGTATTCCGGATTGTTCTCATCTACCCTGTCGAAGTACCTCTCCTTATGTGGGGCTGTGGTCGGAGGTGGTGAGGTCACCACAGCGGCCCGCGTGTCACCATTCATGGCACAATCGTCCTAGGTTGCTGCAGAAACAAAATGAAAGAGGTTACTGTTTCCCAGTCAATGTCCAGTAGTGTTCTGGAAAGTGAGCACGCCAGCTTCACGTGCTAAGCACGTCCTTCACCATGAGGATGCTCTGGTCAGTCACGGCATGAGCCAGGATGGGGGTGCCTGTGCAGCCAGCCTGCACGCTCCCACCAGCCATTGCGCCTTCTGTTCTGACCACTGGTCTTTGCAAACAAAAGGACAACAATCCAGCAAAGTGATCACGTCCTCTGACAGACCACAGAGGGACTAGGCATTACACTCCGACCGCAGGAGAGTTTCCAGCAGAGGACTGTCTCACACAGTCCTGTGTCAGCAAAAGCACAGGTCATTTCTGGAGAAAAATCAACTGCTGATCTTTTTTCCCCAAAAAATCACTGGTAAAAACTCCCTCCCAAGGTCCCCAGCAGACAAACTGCATACACATCTGTGTTCCTGCAAATGGGAGACGCCCTCTGTTACAGCAGCTTACAGTGACCCCAACACGTCACTCTGCCCTGGCTTCTGGATGACCTGCAAGGATGACGTCACTGCCCTGGCTGTGGCTGACCTGGAAAGATGCCAGCGTGACTCGTTTCACCAGTCTACGCATTGGGCTGCTGACTTCACCTTGTCCTCACACCTATCTTTTACTGGAGATGCTGCTGAGATGTTGACGCAGGTAACATTCACCTCTCAGTACAACGTCACTAAGGAGCACAACGTACCGCTCACAGCGATAGCTGCATTTCAGCACTGGCTGTGAACCACCAGTAGGACATATGCAGCCTGACATTCACACGTGGTCACTGTGCCGGGCACAGGAAGCATAAATGCCATCTAGACACAGGCCTTCGTGGATCTAAGACTGAGCAGGTGAGACAGACTCCTTCTGCAAAGCAAGTGGGGACCTGGAAGTGAGGAGCACCTACCCAGGGCTACCGAATTCACTTCAACTCCCAGCAATCCTGGAGGGCCAAGCAGAACCGTGCCCCAGCGTTTCTGAAACCACACATCTTTAAGGAAGCTGACTGATCCTTCCCCACAGTACGGCCAGCAGCCTCACACTGCCGGCTTCAGTTAGCAGCCAAATTCTTCCCCCACTATGCCACTAGGCTCTTTCAGCAGCACCTAAACAGTTGTTAAAAACGCAGAGAAGAAGGTATACAACCAGCACCTGGCACAGTTCTAGCACACAGAACACAGAGAAATGCATTCACAATGCATCTCTTATGTCAGAAGAGATGCGACACAACGAGATGAGACGAGACGAGACAGACTCTGAGGCCATCGCAGAGAGCGAGTGAGAGTGGGGGCAGCAGTGTGAGGCTGGGGGCTACAGGCTGCGAGGCGCTCCCCAAGTGGACTGAGCAGCCACCCAAAGCAAGGGGTGCCTCTTCCTGACACCACACACAAAACGAAGCCCAAACTGGCCACACAGCAAGACCTATAAGCAAACACTGTGAAACATTTAGAGGAAAATGAAGGGTCAGGGCTCTGAGACAGTGAGCAGAGTGTTCCTGATACGTAACTCCCAAAAGACCAACGCAATGAGAGGTAAAAAAAAGATGGACCTTCCCAAAGTGGAAAACTTCAAAGGATCCCATAAAAAAAGTGAAAAGATAACCTACAGAATACAAAAAATGTAAAGCATGTATCTGAGAGGAGACTTGGGTTTAGCATATTGAAAGAACTCTGATACACAGCAAGAAGAAAAAGCATTTTAAAGTCCCCAAAACCATCACTTGACCTCAGTGAATCACATCCATTGTTGCTGTTGTGTGCCGTCGGTTGGAAATGACTCACAGCTGGCCCTCCAGTGGGTTTTCCGGGGCAGTCCACTGCATGGGAGGAGACTGTTCATTATAAAACCTTTCTCTCCAGCTGCACCCCTTTGCTGGGAACAATAAATATGACAAGAACAGGAGTGGCCACAATTGGACTGTACACCAGATCTTGCCTCTCCTGGGATTCTGAGAGGTGCCGCCCAGGTAGTCTGCACTCTGCTGAATTAACATGGTTGAGAGCAGAGAAGCACAAGAGCTCGGGCCAGCAAGCCATCACAGACTCTCAGAATCCTCCAGCCCTGGAAGCGGTGGGGCTGGTCATCAAAGGGGTGCTGGCTGGGCAGGAGGAGTCCGACATCAGGACTCCCCTCGAGCAGAATCTGCTGTAACCATCACTGCCCCCACCTCTCTTCCAGGGCACCGCCGACAAGGGGAAGCACCCACCTTCTGCTCCAGGCTGCTCTTGCTTGGCTTCTGGCCAGCATGCCGTCTGGCCTCTAGAGCTCTGGAAAGCCTTTAATGACTCAGATCGGATCACTTCTATTCCTGGGTGTCGGGGTGTTCTTGCGCACAGGACACTGCTCAGCCTTGTGCCCAGCACTGACTGGAAGCTGTTTTTCATATGCACTGATTCACTTTCTCTGCGGACAAGCGTGGTGGCTGGGGTCTGAAACCAGCGGCTGACTGCAAGATCTCCCCTCGAATGACCTGCTTGTCACCTCTCACTGTTACATTCAGCAAATGACTATGAAAACAGGAGGCAAACGTGAACTGAAATGACGCTCCCTTGTCTGTCTTTCCAGTCAGAGTCGGATGCACCGGGGGAATCTTTCTTGCTTCTCTTATGCCCAGACAGCAGGTTCCCAGTTTAAAGCTCTGGGTTCTGAGTGCCCAGGCCTGAGCCACAAGCAGAGTAGAGACAACCTGAGTGCTGCACCACAGGCACTAATGCCCACTCCTGCAAGAGGGAGCGGGGGCTGCGGTCAGGACCTCCTCTCCGAGCAGAGCAGGTGCTCAGCACAAGCCTGGAGGCGGCCCCGGATCGAGCAGGATCGCTGTTTAGGTGGGTGGTTCTGAGCTGCACCCAGCACAATAGCACCGAACACGAGAGTAATCATGGAGTAAAGAACAGCAATGGCAATCAGAACCCTGCTGCACCAGAGTCCGGTCTGGAGGAGCACGTGACAAGGACATGAGGCGCTCTGGGTGGCACATGACAGCATGCCACCAGCACTCTCGTCAAGAAGCCTTGTCAAGATGCTCCACACCCAGCAGTCATTACCGATGCAGGACAGAAATCTAGAGACATAATCTCCTACGTAGGGCCCCACAGAATCTGCAAATAACTGCCACAACAGGCCGAGTTTACTGATCTTCGCATAGTCAATAAAGAACAAACAGACATTCTCTAGTATTCTTTGCCTTCAGCCAGGATCCATCTGACATCAGGAGTGGTATCGCTGATGTCATGGCCTCTTCTAAATCTTGACTGAACTTCTGGCAGTTCCCTATCTATGTACTGTTCTAGCCATTTTTGAATGACCTTCAGCAGGACTTTGCTTGCATGTCATATTAATAATACAGTTCGATCGCTTCCACACTGTTCTTGGTAGTGGAAACAAATATAAAGCTCTTCCAATTCGTTGGCCAGATGGCTGTCCTCCAAATTTCCTGGCATAACTCGTGAGCACATCCAGGGCTGCATCTGTTAACACGTTGCCGCACACTTTTAAATCGAGACCATGCTTAGAAACACATTTTTTTTTGCTGTCAATTTGCAGCAATGTGTTAACTGATAAAAGTCAATTGGTACCCCATCGATTCCTGGGACCTTCTTTTTTGCCGATGACTTCAAAGCAGCTTTCATTTCCTCATTCATTACCACTGGCTCCTGCTCTTACAGTACTTCCTGAAATTTTTCCGTGTCAGTCAGTTTTTTCCGGTACAGTAATTCTGTGTATTCCTTCCATCTTTTTTAGATGTCTTCTGGGCCATTCAATATATTGCCCACAGCATTTTTCAATATTGTGATTCAAGGCTTAAATCTGCTTTTCAGTTGTCTCAGCTTGAGAAATGCAGTGTGAGCTTCCCTTTTTATTCTCCAATTCCAGCTCTCTGCACATTGCATTACAACACTTTGGACTTTACTGACTATGCAAAAGCATTTGACTGTCTGAATTATAACAAATTATGGCTAACATTCAGAGGAATGGGAATCCCAAAACACTTGTGCTCATGGGAAACCTGTACCTAGACCAGGAGGAGACTGTTGTGTGAACAGAGAAAGGGAACACCTGATGTTGTTGTTGTTGTTAAGTGCTGTCGAGTTGTAGGCGACTCATAGCGACCCTATGAATCAAAGTCCTCAAGACTTGTGTGACTTTCATCCTTTCTCAAGGTTCACAGGATTTCCAGAGGTAAGTGGTTTTGGAAGTGGATGCCACTCCTGCTTCCAAGCTTGTTTTAATTGGAGAGCTCCACCAAACACTGTCCGCCATGGGTAACCACTAACGCATTTGACACATCAGTGTCACAGTGTTCAGCTTCACAGCAACCACAAGTTACCTCTGTATGGCAAGTGGACACACCAGGACTATATGATCTAGAATGTTTCAGTATTTTACCATTCCGGCAAGCCCAAATGCTGGCGAACTCTGGGCCAGAGACCCCCAGTTCATCCAGCAAGTCTACTCTGCCAACACCCACTAGTGGCAAAACTACATGGTTTAAAATTAGGAAAGGGGTGCGTTATGATTGTATTCTCTCTCCAGACCTATTCAATCTATATGCTGAGCAAATTATTCGAGAAGCTGGACTCTATGAAGAGGAAAGACTCATCAATAACCTGCATTATGCAGACAGCACAACCTTGTCTGCTGAAAGTGAGGAAGATTTGAAAAACTTGCTGCAGAAGATCAAAGAATATAGCCTTCAATATGGATTGTATCTCAATGTCAAGAAGACAAAGGGTCTTACCACTGGACCGAAAAGCTGCATTGTCATAGATGGAGAATAGATTTAAAGTGCCAAAACTTCATTTTACTTGGATCCACAATCAATACACTTGGTACCACCAGCAGGTGGAAGATCAGAAGATATATTGCACTGGGAAAGTCCGCAGTCATGGCTCTCTCCAAATTATTGAGGAGTTATGATGTTGGTTTGAGGACTAAGGTGCACCTGATCCAGGTCATGGTCTTTCTGATCACTTGCTATGTATGTATC